AAACTGGATAGTACTAAAAGGAGAAATAGAAAAATTCAGATTTTGATAACCCTCTCTCAAAAATTGATAGAAGAAGTAGACAGAAACTCAGTAAGGATGTAAAGGACTTGAAAAGCAGTTATCAATCAATTTCCCTAATTGACATTTATAAAACGCTCTACTGAACAGTAGCAGCATACACATTAAGTACACAGAGAACACTTAACTAAGACAGATCTAGGTAGATTCTGGGCCATATAACAAGCCTCAGTAAATTTAAAAGGACTGCAATCATACATAGCTTATTTTCTGAGCACAACAGAATTAAATTAGAAATCAATAACAGAAAGGTATCTAGAAAATCCTAATATTTGGAAACTAAACAACACACCTCTAAATGATCCATGGATCAAACAAAAAATCATAAGGGAAATTTGAAAGTATTCTGAACTTACTGAAAACACAGCTGAGCAAAATTTGTGAGGTGCGGCTAAAGTAGTGCTTAGATGGAAATTTATAACATTATGCTCCTATTAGTAAATAATTAATCTCCTTGTCACCACTACAACGCTCTGCACTCTACACCAGTGGTTTCAAAGTGTGGTCCTCAGACCAGCAGCAGCAACAACATCTGGGAACTTGTTACAAATGTAAATTCTTGGGCCCCACCCCATACCTACTGAATCAGAATCTCTGTGGGTGGAACCCAGCAATCTCTTATTTACAGTTTGAGATCTTTTAGAAAGAAGCATCTGATATTGTCCCCATCCATTCCCAGTTTAATCTCTAAGTGCAGTGGGAAGCCATTGAAAGTACTTAAACATCTTAACATGGCTTATGAGAATCTATATAGTCTATTCCTCTACTTACTTCTCAATCCTCACCAAACCTAGCATCATGTTACTCCTTGTTCTCTTGACTCTAGACCCACTGGCCACATCTTATCCCTCCTACCTTCCCCGAATTCCACTCCTTAGGTTCTTTCCACATGCCACTCCTTCTTCCTGGGAAGTCATTCCTCTTCTACCAGTTCTTTGACACTTGGCCTAGTTAATTTCTTCTCACCCTTCAGAGCTCAGCTCAATGGCCATTTCCTCAGGGAACTCTTTCCCCACCTCCCTGACTTGATAACATCTCCCTGTAAGTTCTCATAGCACCACATACTAACTGACAACAGATTTGTGTAATTATTTAATCAAGTCTACGTCTCCAAATAATCGAACCATGAGGGTAGAAACCATATCTATTTTCGTCCACCATTATACCCTATGCGTCTAGCATACTGCCTGACACATAGGAGACAAATATTTTTGAATAAATAAATTAATGGGATCTACAGAAACAAGCTTTTAAAATCTAGCTTTCTATGTTTGTACAGCACAGAAAGTAGCAAACAGTTTTCCAGGTTGCCTGGAATTGTGGGGGAGAAAATAGCCAAGTTGCTAATTAAAATAAAACAAACAAAAAACCTAGCAGGATGAAACTGTCACACCTACCTAGCCCTTTCATCCCCAATTAAACCATAGGTGAATTCAGCAGGCTTACAGTTACGATAATCACAGGAATCCTCAGCTCCACTATAAAGAGAACAATTTACTGCCTGGGAAAAAATGGGAGAGAGAGAAAGGTAGCCATGAAATCTGAACTAAGAATTTTGTATTCCTAAGTGAAGAAATAGAAAAGGAAGAAAAGAGGGAGAGAGAAGGGACTTTGAGACAGGAACTTATCATGATACAAACGAAGCACTGAAATAAATCTCTAACAGGTAGTAGCAGCTGGTTAAGAGGAAAAAGGCAACCCCTGAACTTACCTCAGATAGAAAAAGCAGGCTTGGAAGCTGCAGGGAGATTAAAGATTTACAAAACAAAACAAAATTGGCACTCATGACTCCTCCAGCACCACTCTGCTGGATAACAACAGGTCTTGTCCCATAAAGATAAAAAAAAAAAAAACACTAACATGTCAGAAAGTATAAGAAATATACTGTACTGTGGGGGGAGGGGAGGGAGCGGATGGAGGGTTGGGGATGAACGGGATCGAATAATCTCCATCTATTAAATGAAATCTCATGACATTTCTTTCCCTAGCCATGCCATTTTAAAATTCTAATGATTTAAAGCAGGGTTGGCAAAATTTTTCCGCAAAGGGCCAGATAGTAAATATTTTTAGGCTTTGCAGGTCCTATGGCCTCTGTTGCAGCTACTCAATTTGGTATTCAGTTTCTGTAGCACAAAAACAGCCATGGATAATATGTAGATGACTGAGCATGGCTGTGTTGCAGTAAAACGTTATTTACACAAACAGGCCTTTGGCTGGACTCCCAAATTTAGAGAATTAATCCTATGCTTGAAAATAGTTCTGTACTCCATATCCACTAGTATGGAGAATCAACCAAATTGTCTTTTTTCAAGTCACACTAATTATATGTTGCCAAAGTAAAAACAACTTGAGATATCTTTTAGATAACTTCTTTCAGTTCCATTATGACTAATATCTAACCCAATGCCTGGCAAATCCAAATCCAATGTTAGTAAAATAAGCTGAATGGTTTTCTAGGAAAAATATGGGGCAATTAGTAGTAAAGCAGAATATCCTGAAAATTCAGTAATGGTTGAAAAAGCAATGGGATATAAAATATTCAAGAAAAATTCTAAGACAAAACATCAACACACTGGATTATCAAAGTAGCTGTTTTATATTTTGTAAAGTATTGTGGCAAAAGTCAGAAACACTTCAAAACCTAAAACTCTTCTCTTTACTCAGTTTATCAGAAAATTATGATAAAAAAAAAACAACCAAAACCCAACTGTAAACAGAATGTGTATTAACTAAAAATTCCTGATTGTATTAAAATACTTTAAACAGAGTCAAAGTAATAATTTTACTTATGGCATTGGCAATTAGCAAAGTGGCAATATAAAGCCCATATAAAAAAAGAATATTATGTTGATGAACTGATTAGTTTCTATATTAAAATATCTATCTTCATTTTATCCAGTTCTTACCAAATGAAGACTATGGACATGTACTTGAGGAGACACTGATCTCACATGTTTCCCCAAATTCATAGTAAGGTATTTTCTCATTATGATGTGTAATATAGATAGTACAGCCTCCTGAACTGACTGCTTCCACAGCTGTTCTTAACTCAACATGAAAGAAAATCTAATATACAGACCAAACAGAATGAAATCATCTTTGGCTTCAAGGTATATACCACAGTGTTCTCTTAAGTGTTAACAAAGCACTTAAAATTTAATTTAAATTACCCTAACTTAATGTAAAACATAGAGAAACCCTTGCAGGCAACTATGTAGAGTGGTGTTTCTGAATTACGTTCCCCAAACTGTGTCCTGTGGGATACTAACAGTTTAAATGGTAAGGCCTGGGGAATGTGATTTAACATGCTAACAGGGCACTGTGACTTAAGAAGAACAATAGAAAGAACTGAGCATTGCCCAGTTTGACCACTGAACCCTTTGCACATAGAGCATTTTGGGGGACTACTATTCCTTGGAATACATCTTTGGAAATGTTTGTATACTGGAAATGTTTTACTATCAAAACGATTTGGAAAATCATTCACTTTTGGTTTTACCGTTAATGATAATTATGATTTTGAACAATGGCACATGAAGAAACTCTACCTCTAAACATTATATTAAAATGCTTAAGGATAGCCTGTGCCACGCATTGCCTCAATCATACAATTTTAAAAGAACATCTTAAGTTAGGCCTCAGAAAGTGTAGTAAAATGTTCAAAGCAGGATCAAAGGAAGATGCATTGTTGTAGTTGAAGAACTATACCAGTTAGTTGGAAATCAGCCATCAGTTATAAACCTGTGTCAAAACCAGAATCCGGAATGGGGAATAAAGAGTGTATATTCAGTCATTTCTGTGGACAGAGTTAAAAAACAGGACAAGCTGCTAAACTGAACTGTTTTCAGTCATCTCAGAATTCAATACAAAGTGTCTACTTCAATTTCTAAATTTTTATGGGAAAATTGAAAATGCCTTAGGATGAATACTATTAGTATAAATGCTTCAAGTTCACATTAGTTTATTTTAGCCTTAAAAATTCTCTGAGATGTTCAAAATCAGCTTGTTTACATCCAGATATTTATCAATTAGGAAAAGATACATATCACATACTTGTTTTGGGAACTCAAGATACAGATATTAAAAAGCTTTATATTAATATTTTCAATACCCACACTCCATTTTGGGCCTTTGTCACCTCAAAAATCATCTCCTGTAACTGGTTATTCACACACCCCATTTTGCCCCAAAATCTATACTGTGTGCTACTGTTTGAAAGTCTTTTTAAACTCCACTATTCACAAAATAAAGGATATATTCTTGCCTCGATCTCTTTGTCCTTCTGTTATACCCTCTTGGTGAGCCCCAAACCAAACGAAACCCATTGCTATCGAGTCAATTTTGACTCATAGTGACCCTATATGACAAAGTAGAACTGCCCCATATGGTTTCCAAGGCCGTGAAACCGTCTTTCTCCCAAGGAGTGGCTGGTGGGTTTGAACCGCCGCCCTTTGGTTGGTGGCTAAGCACTTAACCACTGCACCACCAAAGCTCAACTACTTTAAAATGCAAGGGTCCACCTTTCTTCAAGCTTATCTCCTGGCAGCTGAGATAAAACTACACAGCTGTGAAGTCATGTATTTCTCAAGACAGCTCTTACCCATTCTCCACAAATATTTGAAACCTCATCTATATTCCTCAATCCCACCGTTACTTTACCTCTTCTTCATAGAAAACATAACCAAAAAACTATAATATCCTCAACATTCTGCCCATGAACTTATAAACTCATTTGCATCCCCACATAATTTTTCCCACTTCCTTCATGTTTTAAGAGAGATGTGACCAAGTCTAACCTTTCTAACGATGCTTCAGACCCTATCCTCAGTAATCAGCTCAGGAGCTTCACTCCTTTTCCACTGCTCCCATCTCATTTTTGTATCTTCAACCTTTCATTCTCCACTGGTTTCTTTCCTCTGGTATATAAACAACTTTTTTTTTTTTTTTTTTAATACCTGCCTTCAACCCCAAGTCTTCCTTCTGCTACTTCTCTAGGAGTGCTCTCTTATATCTCACTGAATGCTACTACCATCTAACCAGATGCTCAAACCAAAAACCTAGATTTTATCCTTTATTCCTCTACTCTCTAAGACATAATGATTCTGCTTCATTGATCTCTCTCAAATTTATCTATTTGCCACCTTTACTGCCACTACCCACCCAGTGGCTCTGTGGAAGAAAGTTTTAGTGATCTGCTTTGGTAAAGATTACAGCCGAGAAAACCCCACGGAGATGTACTAAGTAACACACGGCTGACAACTGGACGGCAGCCAACAACGTTAGAGATCAAGACATCTTTTCATTAACTGATGTTAACCTCACAATTTAGAGTAGGCTTCCCTCAGTAGCTTTATGTTTCGCCATTCCACCACAATCCCTCATCTATGATTTCGATTGTGAACTTACTACAGTGAAATTACTCAGTGTTACAAAGAAGCCATGCTCTCTTTTGTCCCAGATTTTCCATATGTAGTTTGCTCTGCCTGAAACATTTCCTTCTTGACTTCTAACAGGCCTGCATACTTCAAGCCTCAGCATAGATGTGACTATACAGGAAAACTTGCTTAGTTCCCTATATCTGGGTTGTTTATCTCTTACATGCTCCTACAGTCCAAATGTCGCTCCTACCATAGTACTCATCTGTCTGTTGGGACTACCAATTCACTCTTCTCTCCTCATGAGATGGTAAGCTCCATAAGAGCAAAAGGCATGACTTTAATCATTCTATCTCCTGGCACACACTTAAAACATAAAGTACACTCTATTTAATGAATAAATAAATGATGTAGGTCTTGTTTTCTCACTTAAATGGAAAGGGAACTTTTTGAATGTTCCACAGTAGGGTCTCATTAAGTATTTGTTGAACTGTGAATATGATGGTCAAGAATTACATTTCTTTCTCCTTCTCTCCATGTCTATACTTGCTATACAGCAGTACAAATGTGGTGAAGTATAAATTGTAAAACTCCTATATATTAAATTATATCTGGATAGTTAATCTCAAAATGTATAAAAATAAAGACATTCATGGTTTTTCATCAAGAGAGATTTCATAATTTACTATATACATTGCCCTAGAAATTTTTCTAGAAAAGTCCTGTTGTTACAAGTTTCCTTCAAGTCTCCAGTTGCTAATTGAAGAAGAAACACATATAAAACTAGTAATGAGTTTTAGCATCATTTTCAAAAACGGCAAAAAGAAGTATGGAATACCAAGAATAATGAGGAAAAAAAAAAAACACTTTAAGAAAACATTTAAAAATCAGATAAATATAACAAATGTTGCTATAAATACAACTTTGTTAAAAAAAAAAAAGAAATTCTTGCTGATTAAAAAAAAATTGAAAAATAAAGAAGGAAAGTTATCAGTAAAAGATAAGTAAAATTTTAAGCAGAACAGGAAATAGTACCAGTAGTTTAAAAAATGAAAAAAGGGTAGGTAAAAAATGACTCTTAATATGATACTTAAAAATTTTTAAATATCTCAAAAGTATTATGAAATTAATTTGAAACAGCAATAATAAGGCATCTTCCATTTTACTTTTCTAGGATGATGTCATATTTACAGGGTGAAGAATCATATTAAAATAAATTTTATACTTATTCCTTAGGAAGAAACAATGGTTAAGAAGCTGGAAAGACAAAATATGGTTCTGTTGTAAAATGAATTAATACAAACTACCTTTGGTAAACTGTAACAAGCATGAAATGAGGATGGGATAGAGAATTAAAAATGAAACTTTACACCTTACTCTTTATTCATGACAGTTTTTTAAAATATGTGTGGGTATTTTTAGGTGAATTATAAGTTGCTTTTTTTTGTAGTGGCTGTTTTTAATCATTATCAAATTGTTTACCCTCTTTTCTTTCTCACAGAGTATTTATTAATGATGTTATTTTTGTTATAATGTAATCCTGAGGGCAAGAGACAAAGGATATTCTTTTTAGTTTTGATTTATCTTTCATAAGACTACTTTGACCACCTTTATAATTGAGCATTAGATATCACTGAAGTGGGTAAATTTTAAATTATTCCGTTACATAGTTAACTTTTGGGGGCCATAGTAATTTAACCTATTAAAACTCTAGAGTTTAATTACTGCTTTTAATATTGGTTTTAGCTTTTAAAAAGGGTAAAAGGTAACAAAAATAAAACCAATAACACCCTAAATCCCCCAAAAAAGTTTCCCTAAAATGTGCAAAGTAATACTGAAGTTATTTGATAAAATATCCTTAAATTTCTAAATGTAACCTGGCACCCTTTCATGTCAGGGAAGTATCAATAAGTGCTATTACACTCCTAAACATCCCACATCATCTAGCATTTACTACTAAGCACAGGTGGAAATGGCTACATTGGCAACCGCAGTGCTCACATCCAATTTTCGCTAGGTTCTGAGGATGACAGTCTCCCTGAGGCACAAAGGTCTTTTCGGCACTAAAGGTCATATAACTGAGTAAATAAAGCACACAACTACTTGCTGAAGTAATTTCAGTTTGCATTCTGAATTTAGCATTACCTTAACAATTACCTGTGTATGACTCTTTCTCCTTTATTAGGCTATGTGTGGAAAGGAATGCTCATCTTTGTATCTGTGGAAACTAGTTCAATGTCTAATATGAAAAAGAATATTCAACTAGTTTTTGATTTACTGAGAAAAACATATTGTTCACATGACACTTTTCAAATTACCTGTGTCCTAAAGTGGTCCCAGAAGCAGCACCAAAAGGCATGACAGCATAATGGTCAACATGAGACTGAGCTCCTAGGCCTACTAGATATGATCATCTTTATCAATTTAGTCTTTACTTCTTTTACATGGTCTTATTGTTATTTATTACATTATCAAGAGTATAAATATATCTTAGCCTGTAGTGTAGTAGTTAATTTTTAGTTAATTACTGGACATATTTATCTGTCAGAGTCAAATTGTTTAAGTTTTAAGTTAGATCTATCAAATTCAAAAGGAGAGAATATTTTACATTAATGATATGTTTAGAAGCTTTCTGTCTCAACTTAGCAGATTTTAATATGCTTGAAATCCTGGGTACATTAAGACATGGGGAATGGTACTGGTATATTTATACTAATGCCATCGAGTCAATTCCGACTCATTGCGATCCTACAGGACAGAATAGAACTGCACCATAGGGTTTCCAAGGAGCGGCTGGTGCTTTCGAACTGCTGACCTTTCAGTTATCAGCCGAGCGTTTTAACCACCGCACCACCAGGCACTTCACTGGTTTATGTAGCAGCACCTAATTTCATGAGTTTCATACTAGGTGCCAAGAAACTAGGTTGTCCAAATATTTTAGAAAATAAAACTGGATCAGTTGCTCCTTTTCCATCAATTATACTTGACTCAAGGCACCTACAATGAAACTTTAAAATTAAGGAGAGAAAAACTTACCTAGCTGGGATTTTGAATAATAGTTTGTCATTTGTCCACTCTTGCAAGACTGTTGTTTATGTCTTTTTGTTGACATTTCTGTGGTCTTCCAAGGTGGTCTTTTTCTTTTGCTCAATTTGCTAAGGACTACAGAACTATCAGAAGGATTCTTGTCATAGTTAACGTATTTATTTAATTTACTATTGCCAAGTTGGCTGGCAAACTTATTGGTAGAAGGATTATTTGCTTTAGCATTTTCTATTTCTTTAGATTGTTTTTTCAAGGAATTTTGCCTAGCAGAATGGGATCTTAAGGTAAAGCGCTTTGATTCTTCTATATGAGTCTGATGATTACTTCCACTATCAATAGGTTCAGGAGAGTACATGATTGTATTTAACTTAAAAGTATTTCTGTGTTCAAGATAGTTGATCTTCCTCAAAAATATTCTACAATCTTTTAAGGTTTTTGACCTCCAATTATTTGTACATACATTTCCTAGTTTTGTTCCCTTTTCTTCTTTTTGGCTGCAATTTGTTCCATTCTCCTTTGTTTCTGACTTAAATTTATTCTCTAAACTAGCATGTGTTTTGAAGCCAGGCATTGCCTGTTGCAGGAAGTCATCCCTGATCTCAGGTGGCAAAATAAACTGATTATCTACTGTGCTGCTTCCTTGGAGTGGGATGTCAACGTTTGTTCCTTCCTCAGTCTTATTTAAAAATTGGTTCTGGCAGAAAAATCTTAAGTTTCTCCTTTGAGAGTTCCAACCAACCGTTTCACGGTTGCGCAGCTTTCTCTCTCTTCTCCACCTTTCATGCTGCAACTTTTTAAACTCGGTCCTTTTTAATCTTGCTAGTGTTAAATTACTTTTCGCATGTAAGACAGGAGAGCTAACCATTTTATGCAATATATGCAATTTCCCTGCTGATTTTGAAGGAGAGGATAGTGCAAATTTTTTAAAGTGCTTTCTGAAGGGGCTAGTATTAAAATCAGAATGCTTGGTCCCTAATTTAATTTCCCTGGTATTTATTACCTCCAAAGGGTTTCGAGCATTTGCTTTTCTAACTAATGAAAGAGACTGCGTTTCTGTCGTTTGCATAAACCAGGTACAGAGTTCATTTAAGTCATACTTTTTCTGAAAAAGCATTTTTACAGGTGAAACTTGAAGTTCCAAAAGGCAGGTTTCCAAAGGGTTTGCTGTTTTGAAATGATCATTTTCAATGTGTTCTCTTTTTTTATAAACACAATTTTCAGCTTCATCTCCACTCACTTGCACCCAAGCATTTGTTATTTGCTCAAATCTATTGTTTAATTCCTCTAATAAAGAATCATTTGAAGTAGAAGCCCACCACCTGAGTAAAGGGTTTGATGAAATTATAGGATCCATGGATACTTCCGCAATGGGTATTAATTTGTTATCTTCCAAACACTTTCTTGCATTCCTTGAATTTCTAGCTCCTGAGGGACCTTTGGAAGCTATTTTTATCCTTGACTGCCTATGTTTTTCCTTCCGGCCTTTACTTTTCTGCAAATGGAGTTTATATGATTTATGGAGCTGAGCATTTCTATAAATAAGAGATCTAGAAGATGCTAATGAATGTAAAAAATGCAGAGCTTGTTTTCTATCCCTCATAGAGTGTCTCAAAGGTATAGGAGCAACCATACTTTTTGATCCATTCTTTAAAATGTCAGCGTCAGTGTGCCTTGTTCTATCTATTTTACTACATCGGTGATCGTATTTTTCTTCAGGGAGATTTTTTCCTAACATATTCTCCTTTTCTAAAGGAGGTAAGCAGCTGCTAATACTTACTTCTCTTTCCTGAGGTGAAATTCTATTAATAGTCACAGATATGCCAGAGATTTTCACTTTTGCAGGTCTACCAGGCTTCCTAATTACTGTCAAAGCCTTCTGATTTGGTCGAATAATGTTCTTGGAAAGGTGAGGTATTACAGACTTGTTCTTGATAGGTCTAACATATTCATAGCCAGACCCCAAGATTTCACTTTCAGTAGTCAAAGCTGATACAGCACTTACTCTTTCAGCCGAGTCAATTTTATGATCTCTAATATGTCTCAGACTACTATATTCAGTCGAAAAATCAGCAACATTATTGTTTAAAGACATAACATTGTTTATGTTTACATTTCCTTCAGAAACATATCTTTTACTTCTTCTTGACCGTCCATAAATAACAGTTACTGTAATACTCTTTTTGTAAAGACCTTCTTTTACTTCTGATATGAGTGATTCTGGGCTTTTCTCTTCAGCATTAGAGGCCTCATTTTCACCAATAGTGATGTCTGTTTGATCAGTTTTAGGTTTTGGTGGTCTTCCAATTGGTCGCTTAATCTGTTTCACAACTTGGGGACCTATTTTTTTAGGTCTACCTGGTTTTCTTTTAAAAGATGAATCAATTGCACTGCTTGAATTTTCCTTAGGTTCTTCTTGTGGCTTGTTACTATTCGTATCAGCTATATACATTGTAGAGGATTCTGCAATTTGTTTTGCACAATTAAATTTGTTTAGTTCTCCTTGAGGAGTGTCAACACCATTATGATTAGAACTATAATTCTCAAAGTTTGCATTTGGGATACCCTTATTTGTTTCTGATTTTTTTTCAATTACATGACGGCTCAGACTCTTTTCAGAAGGAAGATCAATATTTGATTCTGATGTACCAACTGAAGTTAAAATATATTTGACTGCTTCACTGCTTTTAACCTCAGATAGAAACATGAGTTTGACAGGACTAGAATAATTGGAAAAAGAGCTTTCAATTCCTTCATGTTTTGTTGGTACACTTTCAACCCTAGAAATCAAGCTACCCGTATCTAAAACAGATGACTTTTTCAGATTATCAAGTCTTTTATTATTCAAATCCATTGTAGGCACGTGACTGCTTTTGATAATATTGCTGGATGCCAACACAGGTTTTGATACACTCTGCTCTTTGCATGTCATTCTACTCATGTTAAGAGTCATATTTCTATCAGCATTTTGGTCTTTACCATGGGCATCATCTATCAATTTCTTGGAAGTCTTATATCCTTCTGATAATGGCTGATTATTATTCCAAGACTTTTGGGCCATATTAATTGTATCTTCCAAACGCTCGACAACAACTTGTAAATTAGAATGCATTGCAATTTTGTTTAGGTCTATATTGTGTGAGCTTTCAATTTGAATATTTTTCACTGTATCTTTTTTTGGTATGGATTCAGATACTCTTTTAGCCTTAGGAGATTTTTTAAATACATAATTATTTGTCACATAGATAGAATACCACCCTGGAGGCACGATATTTCGTTTAGTTCTACTCAAAAGTCCAGGACCATCACTTTTCGAAGGAGTATGAATGTTCTCTAATTTTGGATTCTCCCTATAATTCTGTATTTTTTTTCCCCCAGCTGCAGATTTCTCCCGTGATTTTCTTTTGCTCATTTTCTCAGGAGTTGTTTTAAAGTTTTCTGAAAATGTGTCAAAAGTCAAGTTAGTTTCTAAACTATGAAGAGGTAGTTGCAATGATTGTAATGTATAATCTCGTGAAAATGATGTTTCCGCATGATTTTTATCTTGATGGCTTTTAAAATTTTGTAAAGAAGCCCTCTGGTAACGATAGGTTTCTTCTTTGTCCATTGAAAATCTCTCACCATTGCGCATAGATTTCCTTGATTTTTTTTCAGTGTATCTTTTTCTTATAAAATTTTCATCAAGACTAGCCAGTTCTCTTTTTAACTGTAAAGACTGCCTTCTAAATACGGGTGAATCAGGAGAGTTGTGCATTGCAAACAGGGTTTCTTGCCGCTTTTGAAATCTTGTCTGAATAATTTTACTTTCTACTTTTTTATCATGTTGACTCAGTAATTCCATAAAACTGTAATCATTGGCCTTTGCATTGTGCAAGAGAGAGGTTATTAAATTTCCCAATTTTAAATCATTATCTGTATTACAATCACCACTAGATGATTTCACAAAGTTTGTCATATCTGTAGTTTCTATTAACTTTAATTTTTCATTAATACGATCCATTAAATCTTGAAAAATTAAACCGTTTTCACTTTTTTCCTGATTTGTATTATAATTATTGCTGTCTCCCAAGAGCAAAGAATCAGAGTTAATGGATATTTTAGTTTTATATATTTTACCTTCATTATCATCCTTGTCACTGCTGACTTCTGCTGGTATGAGAGATGGAGGCTGGTTAATGTTTGTTTCAAGTTTGTTATTTTCTAAGGCTGAAAATTTTGAAATAACATCTTTCAATTTTTCAAATTCTTCAGTCTGTACAGGTGATAATCGTGGAGGTGAGGGACTTCGAGATCTACACACGTCTTTAAGATTGATCGAAACATCACATACTTCCCTTGACAAAGGAGGAGTATGACAGGCTGATTTTGTAGGGTGAATGTTTGGTAATGGTCCAGAACAGCACCTGAGAGAATCATAACGGTCTGAAATTCTTCTATTCACTACTGTCTCAATGTGTTCAATAGTTACAGTTTGGCAAGATAAACAATGTAAATCTTTGATACAGTCTGACAGAGGTGCTAACCCAGGACTTCGTCTTTCATTCTGTAAACACCCTCTTTCTGCCAGTCTATATTCCCCACAACTACAATATAGACCACGTAAATCATCCTCAATTAGGGGCTTTTGAGATTCTGAAGACACAGCATATGATGTATTACAACAGCAAACAGAAGCAGCATTTTGCTCTTGAACTAGAATTTTCAACATAGCCAAAATTTGTTGCTGGTGATGTATGCACAAAGATTCCAAAACTTTGCTTAATGCTGATTTTTCTTTTTCCATTTTAGTAGCTTCCTCTGAATTTGCATCAACAGTTGAACTAAAAATAAAAATCAAACAAAAATAATAAATTACAGCAAAAATACCAATAGTATAAGGAGTTTTAATCTTAACAGTGTTTGAACAAAAGAGATTTTGGTATTGCTGGACTCCTAACTCCTACATTGTTGCAATAGTGACCTCTTGATTATTGTTTGGCAAAAACGTAATGAAGCACTGATAATAATTAATTTCTTATGATAAGGCGTATGAGTCAAAGCAAAGCCCTATTTTGTAATATGAATGCCGATGATTATACGCAGGATTATACTTACATATTGATAATGTTTAGTGCTTTGGATATACTAAGAATATTTAATGGAAAGTGCTTCAAAAGAAGTTAATTTTTTTTGCAAAGTGGACATTTTATAAGTTATTTTTATGATTAATAATCAGTCCATATTAGTGCAAATAAGGGAATTAAAATGTAGGAGCAAAAATCTTTCCTATATTTAAAATAGATATTTTTCAAAGTAGTAAATATAAAAGTATTAATAAAAGAGAGCTATGCATAGTCACAAGAAAAATTAAGGGATTTAGATTTAAGATAAATGACAAAATGTCTTCACCTAAGGTTAAATCATAGGCATTTTAACCTAATAAGAAAATTAAAATTTAAGCTATTTAAAAATACAACCTATTTTTAATAGATTTTAAATACTAAATTAATTATATCAAAACTAAAGGCATTACTTACCTAATTATTTAATTTCAAATGCTGGAAAATGTCCCACTGCAGAAACTAATATGAATCTAACTTTAACTAAGACCCAGGATTGCTTAGCAACCAACATAGAAATCTACAAAAAAATTTTTTTAATCCAATGCCAGCAGTAAGAAAAACAAAACATATTAAAGAATTCTGTTTCAGAAAAGTATCTATTTTAATTAAACATATCACCAAACTCTGTACATGAAACTAGCCTTCCACTCATTTTTTAGATTTGTTGTAGTTAACAGTGCCCAGTTTCTAGAAATTTTATTTAGGATTGGAATTGGGATATGCTAATTATGAACTGCTACTGAACAAGGTATTTTATTTAAATAAAGACTTATTATGTATATTAAAAATTAAAGAATTTTCTTTTAAAATGAAAAGTGGAATTAATCTTTTATTCTAGTCCCTAAAATTTGCTTAATCTATGTCACAGAAAAGTATGCAATACCCCATTTACATTTTGTAAAATTAGATTATTTGACTAACAAAAACATCAAAGCAAATCTGGAACATTTGTAAAAATTTTTCTGGAAAAAAGATAACTTTGCTAGATTCAACCAAAGTCTCACTAAAACTAGCTAGCATGTAATTTGACATCAGGAAGCTATCACACAAAATGAGAAGTTATGAAGTTACTTAAAACCTTTTGAAGTCCACTGCCACTTCCAAACAGATGAAGACAGGACATGACTCCAATAGCCTTTCCTTTTAGAAAATATTTTTTTGTAAATTTTATCATGGCTGGGAGAGTAAAGTGACCTCCAAGAGCCATTATTAGAAAATTCAAAAAATATATGTTGAGAACAAAGGTATGGGGAAATGATAGCTATCAAATATTAAGATAAGTGATAACATACTCTTTTCCATCAAATTAAAAATTATAATTTTCACATAACTGAAAGAAAACACAAAAAGTTAAGCGTACTCCAACAGTTTCCTTAAAATTATGTTGTCACCTATTAAGTAAATCTGTTAATAATTAAAAAGAGAAATTACATGTTTCTTAGATAATATCTTGTACTGTATTTTAGAGATTAATATGCTAATAGTTCCTAAAACGCTGACAGGCTTTTTTTCTGTTAGTAAAGTCATGTATAAAATAAAAATAATCAAAACTAAGACTAGTGTTAAGTATTCTGAGAAACGTTATAATTTCAAGTTGATAAAATTCAAAATTATTATAAAAACACTGGAAGATTTTGATATCCCCTTTCTGACATTCCAAGGAAGTTTATGCTTCAAAAGTTTTCTTACTCAGTTTATTACTTAAATTAATGAAATTCCAAATATACCACATCCCATTCTAGTGCTATATAAAAAATTACTTAATAAAGTTACCAATTAAATATTTCAATATTAGATTCATATCTAAGTTCTTACAGAACTCCACCATATACTTAAATTTGGTTCATTTTTTTTCTTTTCCATACTTCTTGCATGTGAGAATCTCAAAGAAAAATCTATCATATAACCAATTAACAGGTGAATACACATAAAAGTCTCAAACCTAGAGTTTATTTCCAAGTGATGGTATAAAGTTTCTAAAATTCTATTTTTCATAGATCCCTTGTTTTTAATGTCAAAATTTTTTCTAACCTTTTCCTGTTTATCAACTAAAACATCCTGCCTATTTTCTGCATATTATCCATTTCACCCATTGTAAGTCTTGTTGTTGAAATATTTCTTCAGAAAATTTCTAACATTAATGTTAATACAACTGCTTCCTAAAGTGAATCAAAGAAGTCAGTGTAGTCAGTCTTTTTCTTTGCTTTTTTTCTTCTTTTACTGAATGAGTAAATCAATCACACACCAACAGTGTTGTAAATTTATGTGCAAAAGCATTGAAGTGCTTTACTACAAATTACAACCTAGAAACACATTAACTGAACAATTAAAATTCATACAATCAGATTTAGATATATAACAACACAAAGTAGAAACAGAATTACAGTACATTTACAACACAAGACAGATACATGAATTCATTAGAAAATATTGTAATAAATAATTCGTGAATTATAGTGCAATTGATTTATGCATAAATATAACTAATTGCCTAACAATCAGTTTATATTAACAGAATCTGTCAAAATCAAGGCAGCCACAGAGTTTTACTAAATTACTGAGACAATGGAAATACTGCAATTAAAAAACAAATACAAGTATTTGTACTGTAAACAACTAAAAAATCAGTCTCACTAAAGTTAGTATACAATTTAATATAAAATTGTCATTAGCTACCAGAAATGGTTTAAACAACTTTACTGAGCAGTAGTTCTAAAAACAGAGGCACTGTTTTTTCTTTTCTTTCTTTCTTTCTTTTTTAAGTATAAAATATTTGAGGAACATTCAAATAAGTAGAAAGCACATAAGGGTTGCTTTCACCTTCATTAAAAATCTGCTGAAACTGGATTTTTCAGAAAACTGTCAATAAGTAGTAACTGGTAACTAAATTTATAAAGTACTTTGAAAGTTTAACGTAAAGAATATCTTAATAGGATCACTGGGGAGAAGGGGAACCCATAAATTTCCCTGCCTTTCCTAGTTTGAATAATCAAAAGCTAATTCAATAATTAGAAACATTTTGTTTCTTTTAAAAGTTATGGGTTGATCATTATCTATAGACTATCAAAAAATATTTTAATTTGCTAATTCTGACCAAAAATAAATAATACAAGTACTAAAATGCTGCAAATTAACTCTAATATTACCTATAAAACTACTGATCACTGTGAAGTCAATAGCAAAATGATCCCTGATTTTATGAATCCTGTAAAGGTTTTGGTCAGGTCATCTTTTAAATGATATAAAAGTGTTCTGTAAGTTTCCCTTTACTATAAACTTCTCAATCAATTTAATGTAAATATAGTGTGAGGAATAAAAAACCTCAATACAATATAAATATTATGTAATGCATTCAAGCCCCCAAAGTTTTGAAGTAAAATTCTGTATAAAGAGGTCAATAAAATCGGTTTGAAACTTTCACTTTAGCTTTAACTTTTTCAATGGGGAGAGGGGGAAATATATTACATAATCCAAGTTCTGGCCCTCACAAAATATGGCTTAATTCTTTAAAAAGAAAGATGACCCTGACATCTGCTGTTTTGTAATCTATTATGTATATTTTCTTGGGGGAGGGGAGGATCAAGAGGATTCATATCCTAGTATGCAGATAACATTAACAGCTGAAGAGGGCTGAAAATATATCTAAGAGACCAAATAACTACTTGGTGGTATAGTTTCTCACTCTTCAGTTTCTTTAAAAATATGTAAGCAGTTTTTAAATTTAATAGCTGAGAATCTCTTTAGTATTACATGTATATGTGATTATTAAATACACACAAACACAAGTGTAAGAACACAAGCATTTGACAAGGTGCACTTGTTTTTTAAAATTCAGCTAGAAGTATTCCTTTTGGATTTAGGAAAACTGGCTTCGATGATCAGAACCTGAATTCTAACAGAGAAAAGGGGCACTCAGAGAATTCTGAATATACAAAGCAAATCCTCATCCTTTCCATGGAGGCACATGCTTTAATTGTACCACTAAAACTGCATACTCCATAAATCCAACATGGAAACTCTGAGCTGTACTTTAAAACTGCTATATAAAAATGACTGGTCTCTCTTAGGAATCTAATAAATGTTAAAATGTACTGCCCAGCTTCTAAATACCCAATTAATAGAGTTTACATTAATGAAAGTTCAAAACAGCTTTACTGTTAAATATTTGTAAATCTATTCAAGACCCTGAACAAACTGCAAATTTGGTTATTAGCAAAATGATAATGTATCGCCCACCAAAATGAAATCTGTAATTCATTTTGATAAACTGAAAATGTTTTGAAATGTCACAGCAGCAAATATATTAAAGTTACACTGAGGTTTTTCAATAGTAGGAGTGTGTCACAATCCTTAAAATTTAAAGTAGTCATAACATCAACTAACCAGCACATTTAAACCAAAATTACCATTCTCGAGCTTTTTCTGTGCACATTATAAACATGCTCTAAGTTGCATTCCAACTTTTCTTTTCTAACCTTACACATTAGCTTATTTTTCAAATGAAAAATGAAATTAAAT